AGCAGAAGTTGCTGCTATTCGTAATTATCCGTTGCCCGAGTCACAAAAAAAGTTACGACGATTCTTGGGACTAATAAACTATTATAGGCGATTTATTCCAAACTGCGCAGCAATACTACAGCCATTAACGGACGCTTTGCGAGGAAATACCCGAACATTCCATCTATCGATAGAGGCTATACAGGCTTTTGAGAACGCTAAGCGAGCACTTCATGAGAAAATGATATTAGTTCGACGAAAGAGCGAAGCGCCACTAGCCATCATGACGGACGCATCGAACATAGCAGTAGGAGCTGTACTGCAGCAGTTAGTAAACGGTACATGGGAACCGATTTCATTTTTCTCGAAGAGATTAAACCCTACACAAACGAGGTACAGTACGTTCGGAAGAGAACTATTAGCGATTTACTTGGCAATCAAACATTTCCGACACATGATAGAGGGTACCAGTTTTACAGTGTATACAGACCATAAACCCCTCATGAAAGCATTAAACGCCAAGCAGGATAACTATTCGCCGAGGGAAATTCAACAATTAGAATTTATTTCCCAATTTACTTCTAGCATACAGTATATTGAAGGTAATAATAACGAAGTGGCAGATGCGTTGTCCAGAACAACGATAAACGCGATTATTACAAATGGAATTGATTATCACGGTCTCGCGAAGTTACAAGAGATAGACATCGAACTAAACAAGCTAAGATTCGATGACACGACGTCATTATTATTCGAAGATATTCAGTTCGGCAACGCGAAAGTAATATGTGACATGTCAACTGGCCGACCTCGCCCATTCATTCCTAAACCATTGCGACGGAAAGTATTCGAAAGTATCCATAACCTATCGCACCCGGGAATAAAAGCCACGATGAAATTAATCAGTGAGCGTTTCGTATGGACGAAAATGAATCGCGATATACGAAATTGGACGCAAGCATGCATGAAATGTCAAAAAGCCAAAGTACATCGTCATACTAGTTCGCCAATGGGTTCATTTTCACAGCCAGACACTGGATTCGAACATATACACATCAATATCGTGGGACCACTGCCAGTTTCGAACGGCTATAACTATATTTTCACATGCATTGATAGATTTACCCGATGGCCTGTAGCGGTACCAATAAAAGACACCTCAGCCGAATCTGTAGCAAAAGCCCTAATCGAAAATTGGATTTCTTACTGTGGTATACCGGCAATTATCACGACCGATAGAGGAGCTCAATTCGAAAGTCGACTCTTCCAGCAGCTTACAGAACTCCTCGGAATTAAACGTATACGAACGACATCCTACCATCCAATGGCAAACGGAATGGTTGAACGCCTACATAGGCAGTTGAAAGCATCCCTTACATCTGTCATTGTCAATAACGATTGGGCTAATAAGCTTCCTTTAGTCATGTTAGGTTTAAGAACAATAATTAAACAGGATATGGGATGTTGTCCAGCCGAGTTGGTATATGGAACTACTTTACGTTTACCCGGAGAATTTTTCGCTTCAGGTAAAAGTGTTCCGACTGATGTAGCCAACTACGTCCAACGCCTGAAGAAACACATGAGCGATTTAAAAATAGCACTTCCCAGACTACAACAACGTCGAGTATTCGTACCTCAGCAACTACATAATAGCACGCATGTATTTATCAGAAGAGACAACGTACAACCACCTCTGCAGCCGAACTATGAAGGTCCATTTAAAGTGATTACGAAGACAGATAAGACAGTCACGGTAGAAAAAGCAGGGAAGACAGACGTAATCAGTATCGATCGTGTGAAGCCAGCTTTCATCGATAGCGATTTTCAATCGACAAGCACAAGCCTCTCGAAGACGATCACACCTACGAAACACGAATCTCAGGAGTCAACGACGCTAACGCACCAAAACGAAGAGACTCCGATAACGACAAAATCTGGTCGCAGAGTAAGATGGCCGCAACGTTATGTCGCTACAATCTTTTACTGATAATTTTCTGCTACTTTGATTATTAATTATAATTCTTCCTCTTCATTGTATACATATGGATTATTAAATTCATGCTATACGCTATTAAACTTGGCACAGCTTATGTACACCCTTATGCTCATACGTGTAGTTTTTTTTTCGAAGCGATACCATATCCCTTCTATTTCTTACAGCTATTTTGTATAGCCTAACGGACGGGCACGAACTAAATACACACTAACTTCATTCTAATTTTATACAGGCCCATATCTTCAAATGATTGTAACTACGCTATCCAATTTACTGTACATTATGCAAACACAGACATTTTTTCATATATCTTTGTCTGCAGGGGGGAGTAATATAGCTACCATCCTACAATCAATTTCGATTATAGCCAATTTTGGTTAAGCCCTTTTTTATAACTTACTTAACAGACATTGTCATTTGGATAGTAACAATTTGCATATTCTTTGCACTGCTATACCACTAGAGCACATGACACTCTAGCCGAAATGTTGACTGCTTAAATATCATTCGATGACTCATACTCCTCCCCATATATGTACGCACGCAAATATTATTATCAGCCTTTGTTTTGCTTTGCTGTGCCCTTATTAAATTTGACTATAAATTGCCTATGTAATTGTTTGCTACTCTCTCGCTCGCTAGCTTGCTCTTCGTTCGTTTCCTTCGCTTGTTTGCCTGTTCACTCGCTCGTTCATATTCGCTCAGGTGTTGTTAGCTTCCGAACCTGAGTCATTCGACAATAAACTGTAGTTGCTGCTATCCTTTGTCTTCTGATTTTACGCACCGTTAAGTTTAGAATTATAACGGTTATCGAAGTAAACGGTTAACGAATCGCGGCACTACATGCAGTTTGTGCCAACTGCATTTCATATTTCCTCTGAGATACTCGGATTTTAATTATGCACTTGTTTCTTACCGATCCGTTGCGTTCCATTGTACTTGCTGTGCTAAGGCTGATGGCGACACTCCGACATTAGTTCTTTTATGTCTTAATAAACGTCGAATATCCTGGCCTATCCAGGGATGGTCGAGTTTCTACTTCTTTGAGACTGTCCAGTGTATACAAGGTTGAGTTACCCGATTGCATAACTGTCTGAAATGCGTCTATGCCTCTTTTATTGATGCCTCTGAGTCAATTTCCCAGTTTTCAGTCAATGCTGCAGAGTTGGTTGCCTCCATTCTGCCCTCAATACATTAAGACGAGCTGACTTTTCTGAGTACTTTCAGAATCCATCTTTTGTCCTATTATATAAAGCTTACAGATGCCAACTAATGAGACTGTTTCTGTGAGTAGCTTGCTTATCAAGGACTTGATGTGACTGAGATCGTGCTCAAATATAGCCTTTAGTTCCTTATCGAAAGGTTCTCTTAATTTATGAGAAATGACTGACCTATCAGTGAGGTCTATCTTATCACGCTGTGGAATTTCAATTCCTGAGATCATCTCTTTCCTGCAATCCATTTCCTATTTGTTGTCAGTCGCAGAGGTCGCATTCTATTCGCTTAATTTTCTTTTCCTGGGTGTGACTATGGGCCACTCATTCACTTATTTTGTCTCTTCATCACATACTTTACACCGCTCAAACTTGGCTTCCCCAGAGTTTGTTTTGCGTTGATATGTAAGTCCGGAAGTGAAACCGTAGATTCACATGCTTTGGTACTGTCTATAATTAGTTTCATCTCAGCGCTCTTTTCCTTTTTCCTTGTGACCATACCTACTTCTGTATGCCTGTTATCTGCTTTCCTGATAGAATCCAGCTTTATGGTCTCATTTAAATCCAGAACTGGGCTAATGATAACACCCTCTACTTCCTCGAAAGTGGAGTTCTGATCATCTACTGCTGCCTGTTTATCTGAGGGCGATTTTCTAGCTATGTTCAGCAATTCAATCGCCTCTAGAATCAACAGAGACTTTGTAGAACAACATGTTTGCACAGCCAGAGTGATAATGCCTTGCAGCATCTTTTATATGCAGCCAGTGTGATTCCGGTGTACACATTGTGATACCATTTATTGCAGTTATCACATCGCATTCCATTATTGATCAGGTAATAACATACAGGCCTGCCACAACGATGTCTAACGTGCGCCATAAATTTGTTTTGCGACTTCACAGAGAAAACTGATGTCTGGATAGAGTGTCTTTTAAGATTTGATTTGCGTCAGACACACAAGCAAAAACTGAGGTATTTATGTAACTGTACTGAACAACAATAAAAAGACGAAAAATCCGACTTCGGAGGCTACAAAAATGACTTTAAAATCTGTGTATACAATAACTGCTCAAAGATATACTCAACGAGAAAAAATGAATGCCAGTGCCTTTACTTTTTGTATCTGTACTCGAGAAGTTCAGATGATAAAACTCTAGAAAAAAGAGAGTACTTTTGAGGATTACTTTAGCTGAAACAAATTCAATTAAAGAAATAACTGTAGTCCAGATGCGTAATTGAACTATCCATTCCGTAAAATATACTCAGAGGAAAAATAACAATGTCCTTTTTAAACGGCGTGCGGTCACAACCTAGGAATCTCAGAAATAACTAAATTTAACCAAGAAGTATTAGATGAGCACGAACAAACGTATTGTATTTGAAATTCAAAATTAGACGGTCATCAGTTACAAAGGAATCGTTAGTTCGTACAAACACCAAACTATCTCAATAGTATCGAATAAGACGCCTCAACATGAGTCCTCCCGCGCGTTATAAATTATGAGGTAATCTATCACTGGCTTACCGTACACCGAGTGATGACTTCTCGTACAAATAACCCTCTCTTTTTATAATAAGGACAGACCAACTGCGGAGACACTCTCGAAACGTCCGAAGGCTAGAATAAAGTCTTTCATGTCAGGAGTTTCGTTTCTCGCATCACATCGCGAATTACTGAAACTATTTCATTAGAACAAGTAAAATCAAATACTTCTGTTAATAAACTTAGGCGAAGTTGGAAAACTTAGATATCGCAAACCGTGAAAGTTAAAATACATCACCCCCGAAAACTGATCAGGTTGTTTGTTCCCACTAAAAAGCTTTGTTTTGAATGCGCGTAAGTTGTTCGTCTTTGTAAACGCGCTGGATTAAACATGCCCACTATGATGATCATAGCTCACCATTGGTTTATTAATGGGAGTGGATAGTTATGGGAAATTCTAATTCGTCTAATAATGATCAAAACAGTTGGATCACGGTTACTCCTGTGAGTGTTTTTTTGGTGAATTTATCATATAAACAAAGCTGGTCAACTGTCGACAGCTTTGTTGTGTTAGACGTGACTACATTTGGACACACGTCCAGAATGTGTCAATGGTAGACACTTTGAATGGGGATACACAAGGTTATACTCACTACTCCAATCAGATGGTCTTTTTTGTCAGATATATAGTTATCTCAATGTTTATAGACTAGGCATCTGTTTTCTTTATATAAAGTGCTACTTGCATTTCCTCTCGCTTAGTTTGATCCTCATTTTAAATGCGACCATAAATCTAAACTCTTGCTCAGGCACGTAATACTTCCAGCTCTAGATCTAAATTTCGAAACTTTGTGAAGTCTTCTCAACCTAAGCAACCAAAATGGAAGGAATAAAAGCGAGCTTTGAAGAAAAACTGGGTTAATTCCCTTAGAAAGTCGGTGCAAATATAAGTGACTGGACACTAGTTTTTCAACGTTTACGTCATTCCGGAGTTAAAAGTGCCAATTTTCCTCCATTATGCTACATTAAAGAATGTCTCGATAGTCTTTTTTTCCCAAAAATCGACAGACCAGTCATCAGCTGCTTTAGTACTTAAGAATATCTGTGACCCGACAGGACAGTCAAATTTTCTACGCACTCGACATAAAAGAGTGATTTATATGAGGACAATTTATTACCGCGTTAAACATAAGTAGTTGCTAATGTTATTTGCATACAGGTGACAGTTGAGTATCAACGCTGTAGCTGACAAATGATTATTTTTAATCATACTCTAAAATATGTATATAATGCGAGGTTTACCAAACGTATAGGCCTTAGTTCAGAAGAAATACTGATGTGTACTATTATTTGTCTGCTATATTTAGTTCATTTACATGCACTGGATGCAATTGAGAACGTAACTGTAATGTCATTTCGCACATAACTTAAAATTACTCGAAATGTACCTGGGATTCTCATCCACCAAATAATTCTGTGATAGTTGTGGCAGACTTTATTTATTTATTTAATCACATACATATTGGTACAAAGGGCACCGGATACATATGCGCATACATATGTGGCAGACTAAGAGTTTTCTATACGAAATGGCTAAAATGCCTAGTCAAACTGCATTTACTCCATACTTTAATCTCAGGAGATCTAATTTTAGTAAAGAGTGGGCCTATGTCTTGTTCGAGGTGCTTCTGGATAAATGTGCCATCCATACATGAATAAGCATCTAGCTAGTTTTGTCCAGATCATATGGCTACATTTCTCATATTTTAGCCTTATCCTAATGGCTCTTCCCAGAGTTTTACCTTCAGTGAAGATTAGACAAATATTTGGTCCCGTGGATTATTCACTGAGTTAACTAAATTAAGTCGCAAAGTGCTATAAGTGATCAAGTCTTGACACCAGTTAATGAAGTCACCAGATGCTAGTTAGTGTGTATTTTTTGTCGTACGATGAATACTCAATCGACCTAACATATTTAAAGTTACAGTTATTAAAATTCTACAAGCTCTAGCTCTAAAGAATGCCATTGCATTAGCATGATTACTAACTACCATTAGGTCTATTTACTTCATTATACCACCTGTTTAGTCTTTCTGTCTGATTCTTATTGGGCCGTAAATTATGTAACATCCATAGGAGACAATTAATACAACACAAAAGCGTTCATGCAACAAAAATGATTTAGTTAGCATCATTCTGAGTCCTGAAAATTATTCTTTCTTGTTCCTCGTAACTTCAACCGAAACCCATGGGTTTATCACGCAGTCAGCATTATAGATGAGAAAATGCCCTACAGTACTGATTTCCAAAGTAAACATAAATATGTTTTTACTGAGTGTTCTTTTATATTTATTTTTAACCTAAGAATGACGCTTCTGCGCCTATGTTTGAACCATCACTTCGGTCTGTAGTAGAAAGACGACCTATTTTCCCCTCTAAAAATTCGCTCAATAATGGTCAAGCATCCAATTCTATGCTTCCAGCAGCGATAGCACCAGATTCTTCACAAAGCTTTGATCAGATACGCTACCAACCCTGTAATGCTAATTATGTTTCCGATGTAGTTCAGCAGATCAAGGGAGCGAAACGGACAAATGATTTCGTAGGTGTTCCAGTGACTATTGGAGATAAATTGTCTATTGGAAATTCATCATGTCTACCTAACACTCATCAGTCAACGAACTTCTCACCAACTCAACAGCCTGCTAACTTCCTAAACAATTCAGTTGCACATATGCGAAATAATCCATCACATAATTCACCCCAGATACCTACAGAAGGGCAGTTTGTTGCTTTGCATGATTATGTTAAACGTGTAGATGATGATTTGAATATGACCAAAGGACAAATATTCAATGTACTCGATAATTCACACTGTGATTGGTGGTATGCGGAATGTGTATCTACTGGTAATCGAGGATATGTACCCAAAAATCATTTAGCAGCTGTTACCAGTTTGGAATCCAATGAGTAAGTAAACTTTTGACCTTTACTTTCTGGTAGGACTTCCATTAGTTTGTGTGACTTTGATGAAGTTATCTTATGGAGTCCAGTTATCATCGGTGATATTTGAATAAGAATAAGCTCTTTAAATTTTCATGACATCTTAATCGCAACTTAGGCAAGTTAAAGATATCAGTTAATCATCAGAGTAATTGATTGTTTTTTGTTTGATTGAGTTTATGTGTGTTGGAATGAGCTATTCACTGAATTCTATCTTGCACAAAGTTCCCCACTATGTAAATCTTTTATTTTACCAGCGCTGTGTGAAATCCGTGCTGCCATACATTAGTATAAATATTAGTGGCTACTAATCATTATAAGACAGATTATTCATAAATGACAACTATCCTGTCTAGTATTCATGAGTTTTTAATTCTTCTTTCGGTATTACCTAGTTTCCATCAACTCCAAGACAAATGTCAGGTGAAGTAAAAAACAAAGGATTGTTATATTTCAGCCATTTGACCAATCAGTGAGACATACCCAATGTAAAACCTGGCACATGTACATCTGTTCATATCTCCGCACCCCATTAGCGTACCAAGATGAAATTGTCAGGACAAGTTCCAGATTATTAGAGGTATTAACAGTATTGGTAGTAAAAGAGATTAGAGGTCAAAGATGCGATTCAGGAAAAAAACGGACCAGTGAAACGAAGATTTACGAGGTAATTTAGGAGCTTAGGATATAAAAAAAGTCAGTGATTCCATCTGCGCCATTGAGAACGATTTTGAGCCATGTCACACAAAATGTCTAACGATTGGTTGCGGTAATCAGGGGGACGTCAGTCAGATTGTTTGCACCTACCCACATGACCCAGTCCAATATTCAATGTCTTTATTGATTTAAGCCATGTTTTGCTTTGATTATGGAGGCTAGTATTTTAAACACTACATTAATCATGCTGATTCCTCTGTGAATATCTCAAGAGGGTTTTTTTATCTGGTCTCTTAAACTGGAACGATCGGCTATTGAGACCAGTCAGATGAGATTGAGTTCAGTTTTTAGATTCTAGCTACTCTCGGTCAAACTAGCAACTAAAACGGAACCACTCTCCTTACAGATCTCTAAGTTCAATCCATCAGGCCCTACTGTTCCCCCTCGTTTTATATTAATTATGGCTCTTTCTACTTCATTTATAGGTTCTGTTGGTACAACACGATACAGTTTATTCGGATTATGTGTTGAATTAGTTATATGTGGGCGAGAAGATATTGATTAGTTTTTTGCTTAGTCAGACTAGTACATGGTCTATCAGGTACTAGAGGAGTTATATATTCTCATACCCTTATTATTATTGATGTCGGTTTTTGATGTGGAAATATACTTACATTCTAGTCGGGCTAGTCACGTGTTCTTGATCTGAATTGTGTTGAAGTCCTGTAGAATAGACACTAGGAAGGAATCTAGTGTAGCTATTTGTCTAAGGCAACTTAGCGTCCCATTCGTGTACACAAGAAAAACAACGTTATAGCAATTAGTTCAATGAATTTCGAATAATCTGACCACATTTATACTTCTTAGGATACTTATGATTAGGAAATAAACCCAACTAGACAAATTAAAAGATGCGAGAAAATAAAGTGAAAAATGAATCAGTACTACTAGGGTAGTTTCAAGATGAAAACAAAATTATTGGGCACATGAAGAGGATTTGAGTCGTCGTATGATCAAGGCTTCAACAAACCTTAATATGGACCCCTGAGGACTCATACAACACTACTTCGTCTGATTTGACATCAATCTTATGACCCGTCTTAGCCAAATATCTCACAGTGAAGGGAGACGTTAATAAAAGTGATGGAATTTAACAAGTATTTGTGTGATCAAATTGTTTAAAACTTGTTGGGTTTAATATATCACGTATTTTGGGTAAACTCCGTCTTCTCACCTAACTACTTAAATTTATCAAAGCCCCCAAATGCCCTGGTACGGCCGAGAGTGAGGAGAGTCACCTCTCCCTCTCGAAATACTCTCACATGGCCAGCGAATATATAGCCTCTGCCAGGGAAGTCCTATTCACTGCCTTCTCGTGGCACTACTGTTGTTAACGAAATTGAGAGGACGAAAAGCGAATGTCCGGCGCTTTAACCGGGTTGGTGGACAACGCGAGTCCACCTAGGGGAGTTGGAAAACCCTGATTCCAAACCAGTGGTGCACATGGGCTCCAGTATCCTGAGGGAACAAATGGCGTACGAATCAATCGTTGATCACCGGCTACCATGGGACTGCATCTCTTCACGATGCTCCACTGCCTTGTGGATCAGATCTTTAGGTCAAAGGCTCCGGGTGTGGGCCCCTAAGAAAACCACCTGCTTCGGTTTGGGCACTCGGGCAGTATTACAGCCCAAATCTCATTCGATTTGTGTGACGCATATGTATCTGGTGCTTCCTTGTACCAATATTTATGTGTTTAAATAAAAATAATAATAAATTTATCAAAAGACTAAGCTTTAAATAAAATAATCTGTTTTTTATGTAGCCAATATTTTTGTTTTGAAGTTGAAGATATAAATCACCTTGATTGAATATCAACTGAATAATATCATGAATTGATGTCTTTTTTAATCAATTCTTTAAAGTCATAATTTATCGGGATGTCGCTATTTCTTCATTAGTGTAGCATATAATAATGTCATAGTATAATACTTGTATTCTTCATCGTTTGTTGATGGGTTCTTCATTGTTGGGAGCTATGTTTACTTAATCTCAATGTTTAAAAGAGTTGTTTTTCTCATTATCAGTGAGGAAACCGGATTTGTTTACATTTTTTAGCGATGAATTATGAGATAAGTAACATGAAGTGTGTTCATCGTTTCGTTTTCTTTGTGAATATGTATTTATTTGTATCGCTAATTTTTTAAATCTGTGAATTGTAGATGGTATTTTGGAGAATTGAAACGTATTGAAGCTGAACATTATCTTCAACTCCCGGGAAATGATCATGGCTCTTTTTTGGTTCGAATCAGTGAATCTCAATCCAGTGAATATTCTTTATCAGGTTGGCAAACTTACATGATTGGAAAATATCCACTAATTTTGCATTAGGGCGAAACAAAGAATTCTACTCAGCTTTGTTTTCCTTGTAAATGTATTAGTAGCGAATCAGTTTTGCTCTGTTTTAAGGTTTTTCGCTAAAGTAACGAAAGTCAAGTTTATTACACAATGTTTACTTCCGACGACAATTCTATCTATGTAAAAGCTAGTAATACTACTACTAATACTCAACGACCTATACTAAAACAGATGTTTTGGGATTTAGACGTGCAACTTGATTGCTGAATGGTGATTGTTTTAGCTACTAAGTCATTACTTCCATTAGCTAAGTCACATTAATGGTTTGTAAATAAACTAGGTCTTCAAAATAAATTGTACATGTTCAAAATTTCTTTAAATGGACTGGGTTTCAAGGTTTTATTTTGAAAGGAATTAACAAAAGTTGGCGAGGTTTATTTTGGCAAATTATCATAAAGTTCGATTCTAAAGTGTGGGGTTCCATTTTGTACATAGGTGACGCTCGACGGGATTGTACACTCATCAATCTGTAATAGTAAGTGGTGCTTTGGCAAAGATGCACCTCAGAAAATGCGAATGTCATCGTTTACATATCGATATATTGAAAATGACTTGTTCTTTTAATCATTATATATATATATATATATTACACAAACACTGCCCCGACGTGCGATGTTTTATTGTGTAGGAGTAGGTTGGAAGAAAGCTAGGGGTGGCCAGACAAAAACATGGCACAAATCCATGAGGTCACTGACAAGTGGACTGAGCCATACTGGTAGGTGTAGACTACCTGGTTGGGATCCGCGAGGTGATAGCAACCGATAGTTAGAGACCTTGAATGACACGGCTCAAAATCGTTTGCAATGACAAAGGTGCTGACAAAATGCAGAGTCTTCTGTTGGAACTCAGTAATAATGCCAGGATGTTTGGGATGTGTTTCTCCCCATCCAAATGTAAATTGTTACTCCATGACTGGCCTGCGTCAACACCTGAACTAAGGATAGGGAGTGAAGTAGTCGAACGCGTTGACAACTTCACTTATCTTGGAAGTCTGATCAGCCCTAATTGGTTGGTGTCTGACGAAATCTCAGCACGGATTCGAAAAGCTCGTTTGGCTTTTGCCAACTTACGTCACCTATGGCGAAGACGAGATATCCGTCTATCAATTAAGGGACGAGTATACTGTGTAGCAGTTCGCTCTGTTCTACTTTACGGCTGCGAAACATGGCCATTAAGAGTAGAAGATACTCGTAAGTTACTAGTATTTGACCACAGATGCCTTAGAAATATTGCTCGCATCTGCTGGGATCACCGGGTAAGTAATAGTGAGGTTAGACGCAAGGTATTAGGGAATGATGGTAAATCAGTTGATGAGGTGATGAATCTTCATCGACTGAGATGGTTGGGCCACGTGTTACGTAAGCCTGAACACCGATTCCCACGACGCGCTATGATGACTAGTGTAGGGGATTGTTGGAAGAGAGTTAGGGGCGGCCAAACCAAAACATGGCATCAGTGTTTTAAGTCACTAACTTCTAGTCTGAGCCATGTTGGTAGATGCAGACTACCTGGTTGGGGTCCGCGTGACTATCGTAACCAATGGTTGGAGACTTTAGGTGACATGGCTCAGAATCGATCACAATGGCGTAGGTGTATACACTCTTTATCTTCCCTTAAACCTTGAGATTAAAATTGCTTCATAACTTTCTTCCTTCCTATACTATATCCTTATATACAACCTTTCTTTATATACTACCACCAGTAAATTAATTACTTCTATGAATCCGGTGTTCATCTTGTTGTGCTAACGAGGTATGGCAACTTGGACCGATGCATTTATGTGCCTGGTCTTGCGTTGTAGCTGACTGACTGACTGACAAAGGTGCATCCACTCTTTGTGTTCTTCTGAATTCTTCATGTCCCTATCTTTTTTCTCTTTCCAAATTCATTTCACTGTATTACACTCCTTGAATGACGTTTTCAAACCCTAATCTTTCCTATTACTGCTTATACTCTTACTACCTCTACCACTATGGGATTTGAATCGAAAACTGCATCTCTGTGTTAATGTAGTGTAGCAACTCGAACTGATGTACGTACACTCGAAGTTCTACGTTGTTGCTGACTGATAGTACTTGTAAACCTCTACAAAAATCTACTAAATTTCTGTTACCTTAAGTGAAACTATTGAATCAAATGAGAATTGTTGCACATATTGTGTTTTATAAGTGAAGCTCTCCTGCAAAATTATTGAATGTTGAATTTATCAATGAAACCTCTCGTTCATCTTTGGTAGCGTTTACCAACAGTTTTAAACATTGGAGTTGGAAATTGTCTTTAACATTTTGGACGTTTCTTCCTCACCGATTTCAGCATCATTTGTATCATTGTACACCATATCTACTTTTATTAAGCGGTTTTAAAATAATCTGTCGCTTTCCATGCGCTTACTAAAAGAGACATAGTATGTATATACAACCTCTAAACCCTCTCTAAAGCTATCTGCTCATTCTGGCTAGCTTGTTGTATATCAGCCACTTTCAGACTAATGCGTCGTATAAATGAAGATTCTATGCTAGTTTAGATTGTACCGTCTTCACTATACTTTTTAAAAGTATTACAGATTACACCTGTTCAGATTTTTTTGGCTTCTAATAGTTGTTTTCATGAAATATCCTGAGATAACAAGTGATTAAGAGTAAAGTTCATGAAGTTGGTGATTTCATTTTATATTTGTAAATGTGATACGATGCCCAATGATTAAACTCAACAGTCAAGTATTAATTGGTTGAAGAATAAGTGACCTACAAGCTACTTTCCTGCAATCTCTTATGATATTTCATCATTACTAGTTCGTGTTCATATTTTGCATACAAGTATATTATTTAATTATATTAAAAAAACTACTCATATGGCTAGTGGTCTTGTCTTTTATTTTTGGTCGTTTGGGAGCCTAATTCATTAATACAGTCTCGTGAGCATCCATCACTCGGCTACATTATATCATTGTGTCCATGTGTCGATCATCATCCTATTCATCCATTTGATCACTCGAAATTTCGTCTAATCAGATAACAATAATCTTCCATAACAAAATAATTATAAACGTTTAATCTTATGCTTCAGAAAACCGTTTTGGAAAAGTACTTCCTTTGCGGTGTTCCATCCTATTTAAAAAAATTTATTATTTATTTATTTATTTAAACACATAAATATTGGTACAAGGAAGCACCAGATACATATGCGTCACACAAATCTCATTCGATTTGTGTGAGGGCTGTAATACTGCCCGAGTGCCCAAACCGAAGCAGGTGGTTTTCTTAGGGGCCCACACCCGGAGCCTTTGACCTAAAGATCTGATCCACAAGGCAGTGGAGCATCGTGAAGAGATGCAGTCCCATGGTAGCCGGTGATCAACGATTGATTCGTACGCCATTTGTTCCCTCAGGATACTGGAGCCCATGTGCACCACTGGTTTGGAATCAGGGTTTTCCAACTCCCCTAGGTGGACTCGCGTTGTCCACCAACCCGGTTAAAGCGCCGGACATTCGCTTTTCGTCCTCTCAATTTCGTTAACAACAGTAGTGCCACGAGAAGGCAGTGAATAGGACTTCCCTGGCAGAGGCTATATATTCGCTGGCCATGTGAGAGTATTTCGAGAGGGAGAGGTGACTCTCCCCACTCTCGGCCGTACCAGGGCATTTGGGGCAATAAATAATTAATTGTATTGTCTTAATGTCTGGTGTTAATGCTGTCGGTTATCAAGGTATTACAATTTTAATTTGATCTGGACCTTAGTGTAACCTAGTCACTGAACTCATTTTCTTGTAATCAGTTCTAGGCTGCCCCTTGATATATCAATTAGTAATGGCATTTAACCATCTAGAGTATTGTAAATGAAATTGTGTTCGAACCTAGAACCAAGTGGTCAAACATAGAGTAGTTTAATAAATAACTCATTGCTCCATGAAATTTGATGTATATTTCCAGTGACAATCAAGTTTTTGCTATTCGTCAACGCCCATCTCTCTAGATTTAATCAAATTACTACCTGCCATTATTTAGAAAATGTAAGGACGGCCCGTCGGTAGACTCTAGAAAACCCTAGGAAGCCCAGGAAGAACCGTAGACATTCCATCCAATCACGGCTAGGGGAATGTTCTAGAAATGCCAACGTGGAGCTTCTCCATTGGATGGACTAGTTTGGTACCTATGTGCTTATTGGTTGACCTAAATGATAATTTATTTTCAGCCAATAACTATAAATACACGAGATTTCTGTGCTATATTTTGACATTGTTCGGGGCAATAAACTTCCTGCTTACCAGTCTTTGTCTTCTCTCTTTGCGACGTTGCGGGTTCTATCGTTCAAGTAGTCAAGTAGTTCGCGGCATATTAAGAATCAAGGCTCTAGATATAACAGAAAATTGAATTAAAATTGATAAATCATAACTCATCTGATGGTTATTTATTCTACTGAACTTTCATTATCTCCGTTTACATCAACCACTTTTCCTTGAATAAGACTATCTTCATTGAAATAATCTCTTTCCATTTTCTGTAACTTGTTTTTCTTCAGTAGTAATTGTAGTAGTCGTCCAGTCTACGCTAATAAAATAATCTTGTTAATGAATTCCGAGAATTGTCCACTATCAAGGAATACTTGAGAAAAAACATATTTTAATCGTTCATCTCATGTATATTGGGATTATTTATTTGTGGAATTACTTTTATTATCCAACTATTCCTTAATTGTACATTTAGTAAATGTACACTAACTTTTGGATAGGGGATTTATGTGTCAGTTAAAATTGTTTATAAATGTCAACCAGATTTCCATTTTGTTTCTTATTGGTTTATTCACTATACGATCTGTATGTTTCCACTATTTGTTTTGTATATGCCGCTTTACTTTGGGTGATTCATCTAGTCACTTTTATTTGTATTCACAGTCACAGTGAAAATCAACTAGCTTAACAATTATTGATGAAAATGGTTTAATTGCTTTTTTTCATTTGTCTTATAGATATTTTGCAGAAATATTACGTTTGTAGAAAGGCTTTCATACAATTATACTATTGTCTTTGTGTGCTGTTTTTTAGGTGGTTTATTCTAGTTGGAAATTCCGTACTCTTTATGGATTTTATTTCTGTTGGTTAATTTTCAAATTTATTGATCGTTATGAGCCAACAAAACTAATGATCATTTCTTTGAGAAATTAGTATCCGGTGTACTTTGTCATTCAGTCGCTACATCATCAGTATACTTTCAGGTCTTATCGTATTTCTAACGACTCGTCAACTATTATACACATTTGTAACGATCTTCCATAAAGTTGAAGTTCGATCATCAAAAAACTTAGCTTACTTACGCCTGTTACTCCCAATGAAGCATAGACTACCGACCAGCATTCTCCAACCCACTCTGTCCTGGGAATTCCTTTCCAGTTCTATCCAATTCCTGTTCATTTTTCTCATATCTGTCTCTATTTCTCGGCGTAATGTGTTCTTTGGTCTTGCTCCGTTGGCCTTGAGGATTCCGTGCGGGAGCTCGCCTTATTACGCGGTTGGGTGATTTCTCCAATGTGTATCCTGTCCACTTCCGGCGCTTCCTGATTTGTTCCTCCACTGAAACCTGGTTTGTTGTCTCCCACAGTAGGTTGTTGCTGATAGTGTCTGGCTAACGAATCCAAAGTATTTTGCGTAGACTACTGTTAATAAACACTTGTATTTGTGGGTGATGGCTTTCGTACTTTAAGTTTCCGCCCCATACAGTAGAACTGTCTTCACACTTGTATCGAACATAGATTTAACTCTCGACTTATTGCAATATGTATTTAGCCATATCTTGGTGCTATTGTACCTAGCAGAATAAGAATTTCAGTTTCCCAAACTATTTATGTTTATGTAAATAGTTTGTCCAAAGTAAAAATTTAAAAAGTTTTTTAGAAAATTGAACATAAATAACCGAGTGAAGAATAAGATTTTCTCTATCCTTTGTCATTATAAAGGTCACACATTTTTCATCATTAACAATGAACACATACATTATATACATGTCGTTTATGAATCACCTTGACCGAAATGACATGACATTGATTTATTCAGACCTGTTTTTTGATTGATCACCTAATATTCGTGTTGTTCCATTGTACTATTTAAACTTGGATTAATGTTAATTTGGTTATTTATTCTCTGAAGAAGTGGCTTACACTGAGTCACAAAACGTCAGAAAATCTAATTTTTCTACTCATTGGGATATTACAAATATTTATAATGAGTATTTCTGTTACTTTCACACACACTTTGCAAATTACTGTTCAATTATAGGTGTCTTCGAAGCATTACTCGTATATCCTGGGACCATCGAGTGAGTAATGCAGTTGTTAGGATACGGGTACTGGGTAAGGATGGCAAATCTATAGATAAAGTAGTGAAACTCCATCAGTTGTGATGGCTGAGACATGTGTTGCGTATGCCCAACCACCGACTGCCCCGACGTGCGATGTTTTATTGTGTAGGAGTAGGTTGGAAGAAAGCTAGGGGTGGCCAGACAAAAACATGGCACAAATCCATGAGGTCACTGACAAGTGGACTGAGCCATACTGGTAGGTGTAGACTACCTGGTTGGGATCCGCGAGGTGATAGCAACCGATAGTTAGAGACCTTGAATGACACGGCTCAAAATCGTTTGCAATGACAAAGGTGCATCCACTCTTTGTGTTCTTCTGAATTCTTCATGTCCCTATCTTTTTTCTCTTTCCAAATTCATTTCACTGTATTACACTCCTTGAATGACGTTTTCAAACCCTAATCTTTCCTATTACTGCTTATACTCTTACTACCTCTACCACTATGGGATTTGAATCGAAAACTGCATCTCTGTGTTAATGTAGTGTAGCAACTCGAACTGATGTACGTACATTCGAAGTTGTACGTCGTGACCGACTGACTAAACTGTTCTTAGCATTAACAGATTGTTTATAGTATGTTAACTTAATTATGATGCTCAGAGGTTGTTTTTGCCTATTTTAGTTCTGTTCTCAAGTCGATAATAAAAAGGTCAAGTAAATGAAAACAAGTGTATTGTATTAGTTTTATGGATTTCTGTGTAGAAATATGTGTCTTGGAGTGTTTAGCTTATCACGGATAGCGTGATAAACAGTTGTGTATGAAATGCGTCATCAGAAATTCGTTGTCAGGAGAAAATTCACTTTTTACACATCTCTTTAAATGTTTGAAGACTGTCATGACTTTTTTGTTTATTTGTATTAAGTTGAATATAAAATTTGCATGAAAAGCTAGCCTTGTTTCATTTTGTTACTTTGTTGCCCTTCTTGTGTGTATTATATTGGACAATATCCGATATAAAGAGATTGGCTAGTAGGAAGATGTTTAAAAGTATAAAAATTATTAAGAAAATTGGTTAAAAAACAACAGCACTATACCGCTGTGTTTATGACAATGTGGACAGGTTTTTATCCTTGAAGCAGCTATCGAAAACAATAGAATAACGTTATTCAATATACATTATATATATATATATATATATATATATATATATATATATATCGTTGTCATCTTTCATGATTGTGTTTTGCATATCTGATTTATCAGTTACTGAGTCCATAAAATTTAAAAGGTGATTGTGATAACATTTGTATGAAACAAATGTTTTTCCTCGGTGTCTGTGTCACTTTAAATATTTAGATAAAATGTTTACAAGGTTTTGGCGTATCTTCTCTGCAAATTTTTAACCTTTTTAAGTGTCGTTTTATTTGGACTGAATAAATAGATTTATGAAGGTGTATTGATTTCAATCAGTCATGTTCAAAGTGTGTATTTATTCGTTTATAAAGCATAAACATCTTAAATTTTGTAGCCTTCACTTAAAATTTATTGGCTTTTTGATGTTCACTTTTATTCCAGACAGTTTAACCTTGTTTATTTTGATTAGTTCGTACCCTGTCATTAATATTTATGCCTAGTTATCAGCTACATTATATATGGGATAGCCTTGGGTTTAAAAATGTGATCGATATCTACTAGAGTTTGAAAAAACTCTTATCTGTGATAAAATACAGATTAGTAGTATTCTGATCTCCATATCTCTTGTTTACTGATTTTTGGATTATACAGTTTTTCACAGTTGAAATCATGAGTCAATTGAAGCTAGACCACCATCGAAAACCTGGAAGCACTGGACGGCCGTTTCGTCCTATTATGGGACTCCTCAGTAGTGCGCATCCACGATCCCGCACCTGCGAGATTCGAACCCAGGACCTACCAGTCTCAAGCCGAAGCCCTTAACCGATAGACCACTGAGCCGGCATCCAACGGTGTTAATGTCTAACTTCTACCAATCCACGATTTTGAGCGACCGTTCACCATTAACACCGTTGGATGCCGGCTCAGTGGTCTATCGGTTAAGGGCTTCGGCTCGAGACTTGTAGGTCCTGGGTTCGAATCTCGCGGGTGCGGGATCGTGGATGCGCACTGCTGAGGAGTCCCATAATAGGACGAAACGGCCGTCCAGTGCTTCCAGGTTTTCGATGGTGGTCTTGCTTTTATTGACTCATGATTTCAACTGTGAAAATACTAAAAATTCTCCACAAAACCCCCGTCTGATCTATACAGTTTTTAACAAAATATTTAATTGTATAGTTTTAAGCATTGCTGGTAAAGACCATGGTATTCACATTTTTGAATGTAAGAATCTGAGAAATCAGTAATTATGCATGTTGTCTCATTTTAGTTATGTCCAGTAAATAATATTCGATAAAAAATTTCTTATTACTCTCCAGGATTTTGATATACTTCTGCATTCATAAGATAAGTGTTATGTACTAGAGAAGAAGTACGTACGGATAACTTACGGGACCTATTATTGGATTATTATTCTATGCATATTCCTATTGTATAACTATTCAGTAACTACATTATCTATATCTATACTCATTATTATATCCGATTTCTCATGCCACTTTACCAGATATGGGTTCACATAATGATGAACATAATTTGATGAAGTTTCGTATAAAGATGAGAAAAATAAGTCGGTTGAATCAAATGGTGATCAAAAATCTAATGCAATTTTGTTAGATGCTGATTCCCCTAGTTACCCAATATTCACTAGTGAAATTCTTAATGAATTTGGTAGAAATGTTTCAGAAGAGCCAAATTCTGATGACCTAAAATCAAGTGTCATTCATCATCATCTAGTCATTTCCAGTGGATTCTCTATTCAATGCGAGAAATATGTTTTATATAAAGTCATATTAGTTGTAAATTGGAGATATGAGGATCCAACATTATTTCGTGGGGGAGGAAAATGTTGGAGAATTTCAAGTAATGCTGGGATAACTGAACTGACAATTTAACCCTATTATGTTTTATTAATTCACCTCCTTTTGTAGGAAAATATTTCATCTCCATTGATCCGTTTGAATTAGCCACGTCTTTCAGCTCTATATTGACTCATCCAGGTTCATGATTGCTTTTACTTTCTTGTTTCGAAGCATTTAATTAATTTAGTTTTCATAGTAAACTCTTTTCAAGACAGACACCTAACTAAACTACCCAATCTATCAGTAAAGTCTTTAACAAGGCCATTACATAGAAAGCGATCTGCGGACACTGATTGGAAACTTGTGTGTGTGCTATTATATCTGTTTGTTTTTGGTAATCATTACTTTGTTGTTACTTTCTTTTTCGGAAAAAAGAAAGAAACAAGTCCATGTCTTGAATCTTTATTTTTTAATTATTACAATTGTTTATTCTGTTCATATTGATTGAAAAATCCTAAATCTAAGTATCTCTGCATAATTTAATGTATATCGAGTTATCATTTGTTCCGGATTTCAGTCAGACGTGATAAATGTTACTGTTATATAGACCGCTACAAAAAGTTAACAGGTAGACTGTATACAAAGTTATTAGCGTTTTTGCTTCATAGTGTTTCTAATATTTTTTATTATTTTCAGTACGAGAAGAGAATACTGTCAAGCATTATCGTATTCGATCAAGATATTCACGAACTGATCCTACATTAAAACGTTTCTACATTTCAAGACAATTGCCTTTTGTGAATATTCAACAGCTAGTCAATCATTATTTGGAGAATCAATCTGGTTTATGTTGTCGATTGGGAAAACCGTGTATTCGAGTAAGTTAAATTCTCATTAGTAATTAACATATCTTACATTGTTAATTGCTTTTTATAAATATTTCCTGTGAAGAATTGGCCTCAGTCCTGTCAATATATAAGGCTGCAGAACGTTAGTTAACTCTCTTTAATAAAAATATGGATTCGCATACTAGCACAAGTATCTTTATAAATAGAATTTATTTCAGTGACTATTTTATTATAAATTCTGTGGTGTAGATTGCTTTACTATTTTCTGTCTGTAAGGATCCTAATGATCAATGTATCTACCTATCCTTGCTCAAATCCTTTTTCTCGGCTTCGAATCACACTTCTTTTTAGGGACCATCGATACTACCTGCTTCCCAAAATGAAATAGATGAAGTGGGGTTCTCACGCTATCACTCAATGTTTAGAACTCGGGAGAGACCACTCACGGCTTGGAATAGTAGGTATCGTTTTGATGGACTAAGCGACTAGTGTTCTTGTAACGAAATTTCGAAAATGTCTGGGTTTGAATATTTCAGTATTCGCCTTAAATGTTGTCTTTGATTATGTGTTCGTATAAGATCTAGTTTTAGTTATATGATATGTAAATGTTCTCTGTGCACATCCCAGGCCGCAGTCTCATGTCTAATTACATGGGTAATTAGAAATAATCTAAGTAAGGCGCTGGATCACTCTTAAGAAAAAAATTAGCACATGAACGAACTCATTATTTGTAAAAACTTGACTCCTATTACGCTTTACAATGAAATAGAAAGCGAAATCCAACAATTACGACAAAGCATATATATATATATATATAAACATTGATGAGGAAGAAAATATTATTAAGGATAAGTTAAAATATCCGTGATCCAGAGGAGGTAGTTTAGCTCAAACAAGTTACTGCCACAGACATTTCATTTCGTGTCTTGTGGGGTCTTAAGAGACCTTTTTAAACAAACAATTACTGTTATACAAAGCTATGCGATATAGTTACTCTTATAATCAAAGTGAATTATCAATCACTAATATTGTAAAATTATGGTATACTTCGTCTGCAAATTATCCTGATAGGACATTATTATCGTTGCTTGTTTCTCACCTTGTTAGTACTTAATTGCTTTTTTCGCTGTAGCGTACAAAGACTTTTTTAGTCATTCAGTTCTTATTATTTGTTTATCGTCTGGCATTTGTCCATGCCTAATCGTGTGTATTGCTTTTTGCTAGCAATCACTGTTACTTGATAAATATTGAATTTGTATTGTTTCTCATTGGCTTAAGCACTCAAATTATTAAACGTACTATCCATAGGTATATCATTTATTTCAGGTAATAGGTGTGGTTCATTAATTAATACATGCAAATATAATCGAGTACTCGTTTGAATTCCCCACTATCAACAAAGTGGTTAGATTTATTGTTTATGATTTGGACAAACTATCCCGAAAACTGGTTTTGGAAGATGAATTGGTTACTAAATCATGGACATCCGTTTATCATACCATACTATTATATTTTTTCTTACACACAGATAAAAGTGGGCAATATTTCCCTATTTCATCCCATTTTTTGTTGTCGACCTACAGAAATTTGGTCAATTCTTTTTGATCATGTGAATAATATGTTCCCATTTGCGGAATAAATCTTACTAAACACACGTTTTCCTCTAATGATGATAGTTATTGTTTCTTATTGATTTAGACAATGTGATAGTACCACAACATGCACACATGCCCTAGATTTACACGTATAAACTACAAACGATTTTTTTCTTTGTCTCAGATATTTTATTTTGACTGATTTTAAATGTAGTTGCTTCTTTTAATAGTTTACTTCTTTCTTCACTTCTGTCGTGTATAATCTATCAATTATCTTATTGCACTAGGTGCATTCACTATTTGAATAGTATAAAATAGAAGACTGTTTGTGACCTTATTAACGGAGTTTGACCCTTACAAAAGTGTTTATGAGTTTGTTTAAACGTTGGTTTGTTTTCTTTAAGTGTTTGAATAAAACACTAACCAAGGTGTGGCATCTTGTGTTTACTACTAAATAAAACAGGTTGATTACAAGTTCATAGGTTATTGGTTTTTTATACAACGAATAGGTTTCATGAGATTAAGGAATATGGAGGGCATGAAAATTGGAAAGTAAACTATTAGTTGTTAATTTTAGATTGATATAAGTGGATCAATGTTAGACCACCATTGAAAACCTAACATTGATCCATTTATGATATCAATCTAAACTCAACAGTCTCCACAACTCCATACTGATATTAATTGTTAACTAGTTTATTTTATATTAGACAATAGTTTCTCTTTGTGGTTTTCTGTGTAATTTCATAGCTTACTGTGAAATTGACTAAATCGAGAGAATTCAGAAATTCCACTTATGTTATCTATGCATTTTTCTTTCATATAAAATAGCTCACTCATTGATAGCTACATTTTGATTTACTTTAGTTTCACCGAACAATATGCTTCAAAAGTGACCAACTATCGCACATGATATACAAATATGTTTATTTAATACATTAAGAAAATCAAAACGTTTTTTCATTTATTTAAACATTTAGGAAATAACTTACAGTTAATTGTATTTTATTTCTTATTTGGTTAGCCAACTCATCCAGAACCTGTGGGTCTTTCACACAAACTCATTGATAAATGGGAAATTCCAAAATCTTCAATTATTTTGAAAGAAAAAATTGGACAAGGTCAATTCGGCGAAGTATTTAAAGCTGTATGGAATAAAACAACCATTGTTGCTGTGAAAACGCTTAAGCCAAGTGAGTTTTATTTTTAAATGTTTTCTTGGACCAAATAACTCATCCTTTGCTTAACGTCTTTAAGGTAAAATGGTCGTCATATTTAACCTTATGGTTGTATAACTTTTCCCCACTACTCTTGCAAAAATAAAGCGAATTTTAATCTTGAGGTAACAATAAATTTCATACTCTTAAAGATTCATAATCATCTACTAGCTTTCGTACAAAGCATTTTTATCTCTGGTTTCATAGATCTATATCTAAAAGTAAATAACATTTCCTTTGATGGTTCTTTATCCCCTGAAAGCGATCGATTTAATTAGCTTCATGGGATTAAGTGAACTAAAAACCATGCATAATACGTACATTTTGGTAGAAAGAGCTAAGTTTACCATATAAATTTTTGATGCTTTGTGATCTCTTTGATGAACTTTCTAGGTATTTTCCTCTAGTACTTACAGGATATTTTTCTCTGCGCAAGTTTACAATATTTACTGATATTATTGGTTGGTTGAGAAAATGTTTACGGGTTGGTAAACCAATACATGAACTTAATGGGTATTGGTGTAAAACTTCTAAAAAAAATACAAACTTCCTTGATTGTAAATTGTATCACAATCACTGCTCAGAATCTTTACGTGTACTGACTCAAGAGGACCCAGTCATTCTATATGTTTTTTCACGTCTATGAGTACCTTTCTTCCTCGCCACAGAATTACAGCTGACAGACTCATTCCAAGTAAGGACCGGAGTCAGAAAAGCTCGCTTACCATACCCCTTCACTTCTGGTGGTCGACTGGATTGTGAAGACCACCTCGACATCTGAGGGAAAGCATGGAATACAATGAACAGCTTTCATGCAACTACACTATTTGCACTTCGCAGATCACCTAGCTCTTCTATCCATACACGCCAACAAATGCAGGTCAAGACAACCAGTGTAGCAGCAGCCTCTGTAACAATAGGTCTCAACACACATAAGGGAAAAACGGAGATCTTGAAATGCAACACAGAGAACCCCAAACTAATTACACCTGATGGAGAAGCTGTAGGAGAGGTGGAAAGTTTCACGTGTCTGGGTAGCATCATCGATGAACATGGAGGATCTGATGCAAATGTAAAGGCGAGGATCGGCAAAGCAATTTCATCATTCCTACAGTTGAAGAACATATGGAACTCAAAACAACTGTCAATCAGTATCAAAGTCAGAATCTTCAATACGAACGTCAAATCAGTTAGTTCTACCGTACGGAGCTGATACTTGGAGAACTACCACAACCATCATGAAAAAGGTAAAAGTATTTATAAACAATTGTCTACTTAAGATACTGAATGTCCTTTGGCCGGATACCATCAGCAACAGTCTACTGGCAGAGAAGAAATCAGTTTCCATGTGAAGAGGAAATTAGAAAATGACATTGGGACTGGTTAGGACACACATTGAGGAAATCATCGAACTGATTCACGCGGAAAGCGCTAACTTGGAATCCTGAAGGGAAACGTAGGAGAGGAAGGCCAAAAAACACTGCGTTGAGAATTAGAAGCAGACATGAAGAGGATGAATAACAACTGGAAAGGATTGCCCAGGACAGAGTTGAATGGAGAATGCTGGTGGGAGGCCTATTCTCCTCCACCAGGGATAACAGACGTAAGTAAATGATTCAGTAGGGTAATCAAACTAATAAGTTTGTTGATGGGAACTTAAACTAACTCAATATGCACTTTTATGAAATTCGAATTGTAGTTTATTTACATAATTTAGAACAACATAAATAATCGAACAAAATTGTTTTCGATCCTCATCAGGCTGCACTCTAATATACAGTAATATTTATATGCATATACGAAATTAGTAAATCAATCAAGGCAGTTTATGAGTCAATGATAACAGTGGAATAGATTACATAATCAAAAATAATAATAAGTGAAAAGTACAAATCGGTAGTGTAGTGACAGGTGTACTAGTTGTGATAAGAATAATAAACGCTTGAATCAATGTTACATAATGGGAAATAGGTCAATGATTAGAAAAATATAGACCCCGAAATAACATTCATAGGAATTATAAGATTACGTAATAAGAAGTGTTCAGATAATTGGACCGTGAGGCGAATATTAGAAAAATAATAAGTAAATAATTGGTAGAGGGTGAAGAAAAATAAACGAAGAAAGAGTAAGGAAAATAAAATTATTTATTAAGGCCAAGGGAGAGATAAGGGTGTTACAAATTTCTTATGAACACAAAGACTTGGGTTGTTGGATCGAATTCATATAGCTTCTGCTATGTGTGTGAGACGAGATCGAACCCCATAAAGAAAACTAGTAGGAATACGGTAAATAACTTTAAATGTTTGATTTCTGTCAACTTCATGACCGCTATCGATCAAGTGTGAAAGAATCGAGCTCCGTATCGACTTGACCATACCTTTTCCTAACCACGAAGGGAGGTGTTCACTAAATAAATAAATAAATAATTGGTAGGAGGTGAAGAAAAAAAATAAATAAACGAAGAAAGAGTGGAAAATAAAACTATTTATTACGGCCGAGGGAGAGATAAGGGTGTCTGGTAGTGCGCTCGATATAGCCTTCTCCACAGGAGCAGCTGAATTCATAGATACACATATAAGTGGCAAAACTGATCCTTTATTTGGAGAATCACCATATAACGGGTCGAGTACGATAGACACAGGTCGGCTGCATTAAACGTTCTCTTTACTGCTCTAGTCAGCCTACCCCGTAGTACATCACCAGCTAAATCGCCGTTGAATTGCAGTTTCAGGAAAAGAGGTTTCTTAGCATCTGTTGATATCTTTATTTTCTTATTTGTTACACGCAAGTGTTTCTTCAGGAAACCTTGTGGATAACCCCTTTCAATCAACATATTATGTATGACCTCTAATTCATTGTTAATTGAATAGTCTGAGCATATCTTCCTAGCTCTATTTGCCAGACATTTGACTAAGTTTCTTTTATAGTGGAGAGGTACAAAGCTTAAGAAGTGTGTGTACTGGTTAGATGAAGAACTTTCCCTAAACACACTTCTACTGATAGAACCGTTTGCTTTTTTGTTTAACAAAACGTCAAGGAAATTCAATTCATTATCTAGTTCCTCTTCACATGTATATCTAATTGCTGGGTGTTTGTTGTTAAACAGTTCTAGTAGTTCTACTTTTCATAAGGCCTGATCAACAATAATGAAAGTATCATCAACGTATCGACAATAGAAGTCAAGCTTATTGATAACATCTTTGAGGGGTCCATTTTTTAGTTTCGCAAGAAAAAAGTCAGCAAGGATAGGACCTAGAGGTGAACCCATCGCTATACCATCAATTTGTCTATAATATGTGTTATTAAAGACGAAATGGACATTCATTGTACACTTCAGAAGTAATTCTTTGAGACTAACCTCGGGAATTCCAACATTGATTTGTTTTTCAAGTACTTGTTGGCACACAAAGTCAATAGTCTCAGTTAGTGGCACATTGGTGAACAGAGATATGTATAATTCACTTTACTCCTAGAGCCCTTACACAAACTAATCGTCAACAGAAGCGTGAAAGACGTTTTCAATTTCATTTCGAAGGTTGAACATGTGAACTTAAATGGGAAACGGATGATATCTCTAGATGTTGCTTCCCTTTTCACCAATGTGCCACTGAGACTATTGACTTTGTGTGCCAACAAGTAATTGAAAAACAAATCAATTTTGGAATTCCCGAGGTTAGTCTTAAAGAATTACTTCGGAAGTGTACAATGAATGTCCATTTTGTCTTTAATAACACATATTATATGGTGACAAATAATATTTTTTTAGGACTACACCTCTGCTGCTCATTTTACGCGATATAAGATAAGCGTTATTCATTTTTAAATTTCTCATGGAAATTTAAAAGTTGTCCTCTCGATTCTGATTGACTTGTCCCTATACCATACTTTTACCGTGTTCTCGTCTTAACTGTCTGTGTTCGTGATCGAAGCTGATTATCATTTCTATCATCATTATAACCTTTTTTCTTAGATAATACATTTAATCATGTCAGTCAGTGAATTTTTCTACCCAATTGTAATGAGACACTAAATTTCGTATCATTCCTTATATGTGCATAACCTATGTTTGTACTTTATACGCTGGAAATAAGATGACTCATTATATACATTATTCTCTTTATATTTACATGAATATTAATACCTAATGGAGGTTTCTCTTTTTTCCATTTAAAATCAATTTATTGTTGACCAAATTACGTTCCAATTAATTCAAAAGGACTGAAAGTTAATTATCACATTAAAATGTTTAAGTAATTTCATTTCCATACAATGTTTTATTATTATTACCATTTCCAAATTATAAAATGAAGGGAATTATGCGGAATAAATGAAGTTTATGATCATTTATCCCATTCAAACTCCATCTGAAAGTGGTTGTTATTCTTAGTTGGTTGACACCATATGGGGATTTATAGCCTCTGGATTTGTCAACACTGAGATAATCAATATTTGCATAGGCGGTGAAACGTGAGCAGTTTATAAGTGCTATTCAACCATCTTCTGTACCATTTGTTTCTTCTGAGGTTTTTGTTGGGGATGTTAGATCCCCAGAACTCACTTGGTGAATGTCTCACTTTTGTAATTTTATTTTAAAGATTAGAATTTCTTGTTTTCGCGCCAGAAGCACCCATTTTCACCTGCGTATCATATTCTCCACTTGGGAGGACCTTAAATGTTATTGGTTCGTTGTCGCTTTTAATATGCTACTTTGTAACGTTTCTCAAGGACATTTTTATGCTGTATATGTACGCTTGGGTTGTGCTTGCGGTTCGTTCGTGCTTCTGGTTGCTTGTGAAATACATTTCCCTCTTCTGAACCTGAACTTTTCTCTCTAGTTAGCGGGGCTGAGACGCATCCGAATAGTTAGCTTATTTGATCATTGTGTCACTGGGTCTTCGTTCCGTTTGCAGATTATGTGAATTCGTAATCCGTTCAAATATAGCAATTTCGAATTGTGTTTCACAACTGAAGCG